ACTTGGAGTTTTAGAGCATGTTGTATCTGTACAATACATACTTAGAATCAAGAGATTGTTGTATCTGGCTTGATACAGGCCTAGAAATTATTGTAGAACCTGGAGTTCTAAATTGAGTTGTATCTTGTAAGACACATACTTAAGAATACAGATAGAGTTGTATCCTGATTGATATGACCAAGATATGATAAGAGAAAACACAGAAAGAGAAACTGTATCAGAAGAAACAATAACAGTGCAGAGTTAAGTATCAGAGTGTTTAGAATACCAGACTGCACAGAATACCAGATGTGTATAAAGTACCAGAGTTGTACAAAATACCAGACGGGTATAGAGTTAAAGAATATATAGAGTACCATAGTGTACAGAATACAGGAGTGTATAAAGTACCAGACTGCACAGAATACCAGAGTGTATAGAGTGACGGAGTGTATAGAGTACCAGAGTTAACAGAATACCAGAGTGAAACAGTGGACAATGGTACCATAGAGTTATTAGTGCAGAATCAAATACAAAACCGGATATGGAGGAAACCTTAGTACCAGGAGGAAACCAGAGTACCAGGGGGAAACCAGAGTACCAGGAGGAAACCAGAGTACCAGGGGGAAACCAGAGTATCAGGGGGAAACCAGAGTACCAGAGGGAAACCAGAGTACCAGGAGGAAACCAGAGTACCAGGGAGAAACCAGAGTACCAGGGGGAAACCAGAGTACCAGGAGGAAACCAGAGTACCAGGGGGAAACCAGAGTACCAGGGGGAAACCAGAGTANTAATATCAAGTATATCCGGAAGAAGAGGAAGAAAAAGAAGGTGTGGTTGAAGGAAAGGACAAAGCCTACCTAGATTGGTTGGATAGAGTGGAATGTTGAATGGTTTACAGAGCAAATGATCAAGTTTTAGAGAGACGGCTGAGTAATGAAGAAAGAAAACTATGGCCAGAAGAGAAAGTGATGAAGCAAGAGTAGATGATCCTGAGTTTAAACAAAATAAACAGGATAGATGACGAAGAGAATGTCATGATGTATGGCGAAGAAAAAGCGTGGATTGAAGGAAATAAGAAAGCCATGATGAGTGATAAGTGCTGAAGAGAAAGCCATAGTTGGAGGAAAAAATGATTGTGTTTATATAAACAGGTTAGATAAATCTTCTGAAAGGAAACCACTGAAGACAGCAGGGTTGAATCTTGCAGTGGATTGTGACACCAAAAATTTAGTGAAACCGGAATTGACAATGTCCTACTCAGAACAAGAAGCAAAATTTGTATAAGTCAGGAAAGATTAACCCGGTTATGTAATGTGACGCACTCTATCTCCCCAATTAGGAGTATAAAAGAGAAGATAAATGAAATGGAAAGTAAGCAGAGAAAGTCCTTAGTATTAAACATATACCGGAAGTACGAGAGAAAAAGTCCATTTCTGCTGACAGTGCTTTTAATTTGTCAGGCAGTGCACAAGCTATGACATAGAGAGGAATGCAGAAGAAAATGGGAACTATGCAGGAAGGGAAAATTCAAAGCTTATATAGGGACAAAGAGGCACGGCACTGAGAAGAATTGAGAGGCGGAAGTAAACCGGAAGTAGTAGAAGATGAAGAATAGATGCAAGAAGCAGATTATCCTACAGAACAGAACAAGAGGAAGTGTATTCGTGAAAATTTCAAGATAGATGAAAACTGGATATCAAACAGAGATGAAAAACCCCAATTAGTAAGTTAGGGAACTTCAGATAACTTATGCTACAGACCCAGAAGAAAATCCGATGGAAATAAATCTGGGAAGGCTGAAGTTACGGAATATACCTGCCTGTAATACACAGCAAGAGCCAAGAAAAATATCTGGATCAAAAGGAGCATCAAGATCAAGTGTTTAAGCATCAAGATCCAAAGAAAAATCGATACTAAGAGAAGCATCAGGATCATAAGAAGCATCAATTTCAGCAGCAACATCAGGATAACCAACAAGATCAAGAGAAGCATTGACAGCAAGATAAGCATCAAGATCAGGAGAAGCATCGAGGCCAAGACAAGCATCAAGATCGAAAGAAACTTCAAGACCAAGAAAAGCATTAAGAGCAAGATAAACAACAAGATCAGGAGAAGTATAAAAATCAAGATAATCATGAAAATCAAGAGAAGCATCATGATCAAGAAGAACATCGAGAGCAGGATAAGCATCAAGATCAAGAGAAGCATCAAGACCAAGAAAAGCATCAAGAGCAGGATAAACAACAAGATCAGGAGAAGCATAAAAATCAAGATCTACATAAAATTCAAGAGTATTAAGATCAAGGAAAGCATCAAGATCAAGAGAGGAACCAATATCAAGACAAGCATCGAGATCTACAGCAGCATCAGGATAAGCATCAAGATCCAAAGAACCAAAATGAACAGAGAAAACACCAAGAACCAGGAGAGCACAAAGTAAAGGAAAAAATGGGAAAATCTTAAAAATAGATCAACATAAAAATCAAGAGTATCAAGATGCATGTCCGTTGCAAAAAATATCTTCTTTTCGTGTAGAAAATTTTGTTTAAAAAGTGTAAAAAGAGGGATTTTTAAGGGAATTTTTAAAAAAAGTTTACAAGATATGACCAAAAGTTCATAGCAAAATTACAAGTTAATTTGTTGTAAAAATTATTGTAACTCTATACAGTGAGTCAATGAACTGTCTGTATATATTGCCCTAGATATCTTTTTTTTTAAATTAATATTGAAATAGAACTTCGCTTTTAAACTCAATTGTGATTTTGATTAAAAGTTTTGTATCCACATGCATGGTTACTCAAGCTTGAAGTGGGTTTATAAAAGCCAACATTTAGAAATTCTGAGAAAGCCCTGACACTCAGGCCCCTTGAGCCTACACTTCATGAATTCAAACATAGGAATACTTAAGAAATATTTGTCATCCAAAGTAAACATTCTTTAAAACGTAGATCGCTTTTTGTTGATGTGTAAAAAAAAGAAAACTTGACATTAAAAATTCAAAAAAACTATTTTTAAATGAAAGAAATTATCAATAAAGTTAACAAAAAAAAAATTTAATTGCAAATATTTTTTGCTTCTGCCTGTTGGGGGTTACGGTTTGGGTAAAGTATTGAAGGGAAACTTGGTTATCAAGGCTTTTTGTAAATAGTTAAAATATCATAAAATTATATCTAAAAGAATAAATAAGTAGTTTTTAGATTGAAAACGTTTAAACCATCCTTTAAACCAATCTTTAAACCATTCATTAAACCATTCTTTAAACGATTCTTTAAACCATTCTTTAAACCATCCTTTAAACCATCTTTGAATCATCCTTTAAACCATCCTTTAAACCATTCTTTAAACCATTCTTTAAACCATCCTTTAAACACGATACTTTAACCATTCTTTAACAAATCTTTAAACCATCCTTTAAACCATTCTTAACGCCATTCTTTAAATCATACTTTAAACCATTCTTTAAACCATTCTTTAAACCATCCTTTAAACACGATACTTTAACCATTCTTTAACAAATCTTTAAACCATCCTTTAAACCATGCTTTAAACCATTCTTTAAATCATTCTTTAAACCATTCTTTAAACCATACTTTAAACCATACTTTAAACCATTCTTTAAACCATTCTTTAAACCATTCTTTAAACCATTTAAACAAACCATACTTTAAAAAATGGTTTAAACCATACTTTAAACCATTCTTTAAACCATTCTTTAAACCATTCTTTAAACCATTCTTTAAACCATACTTTAAAAAATGGTTTAAACCATACTTTAAACCATTTTTTAAACCATTCTTTAAACCATTTTTTAAACCATCCTTTAAACCATTCTTTAACCCATTCTTTAAACCATCCTTTAAACCATTCTTTAAACCATTCTTTAAACCATACTTTAACCATTCTTTAAACCATTCTTTAAACCATTCTTTAAATCATTCTTTAAACCATTCTTTAACCCATTCTTTAAACCATTCTTTAAACCATACTTTAAACCATACTTTAAACCATTCTTTAAACCATACTTTAACCCATTCTTTAAACCATTCTTTAAACCATTCTTTAAGCCATCCTTCAAACCATACTTTAAACCATTCTTTAAACCATTCTTTAAACCATCCTTTAACAAATCTTTAAACCATTCTTTAAACCATTCTTTAAACCATCCTTTAAACCATACTTTAAACTAAACCATTCTTTAAACCATTCTTTAAACCATCTTGTAAAGCATTCTTTAAACCATTCTTTAAACCATCCTTTAAACCATACTTTAAACCATTCTTTAAACCATTCTTTAAACCATCTTGTAAAGCATTCTTTAAACCGTTCTTTAAACCATTCTTTAAACCATCCTTTAAACCATACTTTAACCATTCTTTAAACCATCCTTTAAACCATCCATTAAACCATCCTTTAAACCATTCTTTAAACCATACTTTAAACCATACTTTAAACCATATTTTAACCATTCTTAAGCAAATCTTTAAACCATCCTTTAAACCATTGTTTAAAGCATTCTTTAAAGCATTCTTTAAGCCATTCTTTAAACCATCCTTTAAACCATCCTGTAAACCATTCTTTGAACCATCCTTTAAAACATTCTTGCAACCATTCTTTAAATCATCCTTTAAACACCATTTTTTAAACCATTCTTTAACAATTCTTTAAACCATTCTTTAAACCATACTTTAAACCATCCTTTAACCCATCCTTTAAACCATACTTTAAACCATTTTTAAACCATCCTTTAAAACATCCTGTAAACCATTCTTTAAACCATTCTTTAAACCATCCATTAAACCATTCTTTAAACCATTCTTTAAACCATTCTTTAAACCATTCTTTAAACCATTCTTTAAACCATACTTTAAACGCTCCCTAAAAATGAATGTCCATGTGATTTCAAGTGATATGCCTGGTTCACAACGATACCATTTAACCCTTAGTCTGAGCAAAAATTATGAAGATACTCTTGTTTTTTATCTAAAAATTGATTAAGCTTTTCTTTAAACTATTCTTAATAAGACCATATTTTAATGTTTTAAATCATTCTTTTGCTTAGGATTTTTTACTTTGATCCTTTTTTCGGTTTCAAGAGTAACAGGGAACGGAGACAGCACAAGGTACATAGTTTTATTATCATATCGTTGTGTAAATTATTATCATTTTCACCATCATAAGCATAATTATTATTATTATTTTTATCGTTATTATTATTATTATTATTTTTAGTATCATTTTCATTATTATTATTATTAGAATTATTATTATTATTATTTGTATTATTATTATTATTATATGAATCTTAGGGATTTCGAGATCAATTATTTGTGTACAGAATTATTTCACTCTGAATCCCTGCACTGTTGTTCTTACAGTGTCCGAATTTAATTAATTTAAGCCGCGTCTCAAATCCCCCAAAAACCGGTTTCTATTGAGCGCCGGCGTAACTATTGAAAAACTTAATACAAATTTAAGTGCAACCAACCATATTTGATCCCCGGCTTAAATTTAAGCTGCCGCTCAAATTCTTTAAATTCGGCCTCAGATCTCTTTAATATTCTTTCTCAAGATATCTCTTGAAGTATAAATTAATGAGATTTATCAGCTTCATAGTTTATTTGTTGAGTACATCTGTATAAGGTTACTCTTGTTTAATCAGCTCTCATGGTATCCGGGAAACTGTGGTTCAGCTGCTCCAGTTTAGGATCTGTCTGAGTAGCTTCCTTACCCTCAAATATCTCGTTCAGCTGCTCTGGTTCATGAGATGCTTCTATTGTAATCCTAACTGCTACTGTAGCTGTTTCTAGAGTCTCCGCTACTTTTAACTGCTCCTACAATCTACGTTGTTACCGACTGCATTCCCAGCTGCTTCCTTTATTGCCGGAGCTGCTCCTGGAGTATCTTCTACGTTAGCTGTTCTTACAATCTGAGATGCTCCTACTGCGTTCGCAGCTGCATCATTTACCACTGAAGCGGCTCCCGGAGTCCCTGATACTCGGGCTGCTCCCACAATTTGAGACGCTTCTACTGCATTCCCAGCCGCTACTGAAAACAGATCTGTGCAGAGCTTTCTGTAAGGAGAGCAGTGTCCCCTGCAACAAGATCTCTTGTTCCTTAACTGCTTCTACAACAGATCTGTGAAGAGTTGTCTGTATATCATTATTATTATTATTATTATTATTATTATTATTATTATTATTATTATAATTATTATTATAAGGTTATAATGTCAGGAAAGTTAATTGCAATTGCGTATACTCTGCGTACATATCAAAACCAGTTCTCTCTGGGTGTAATTTGTAAACAAGAATGGATGCATCAGTGTTTTTTTAGTATCCGTGAGGATAAAAGCATTTAATTTTGATAATTCACTGAATAGCTTCCTTTGACCAGTATATGGAATATTTCATGTGACACCCGTTTTGTGTTTACATTACCGCCCAGAGACAGTACACTGCAGTACAAAAGATGCATACACCTCTAAAATAACTTTCCTTGCATTATAACCTTGATTGTAATAATTAATGGGTTCAATTAAATACTATTTCGAGATCAATCATTTGGTCCCATGGTTAGGGTGTACAGAAATATTTCACTCTGAATCCCTGCACTCTTGTTCTTAAAGATCCCTTTGATATTCTTTCTCAAAATATCTCTTGGAGTTTAAATGAATGAGATTTATCATGCTTCATAGTTTATTTGTTAAATACATCTGTATACAAGGTTATTCTTGTTTAATCAGCTCTCTATGGTATCCCGGAAACCGTGGTTCAGCTGCTCCAGTTCAGGGTCTGTCTGAGCAGCTTCCTCAACCTCAAATATCTCGTTCAGCTGCTCTGGTTCATGAAATGCTTCTATTGTAATCCTAACTGCTACTGTAGCTGTTCCCAGAGTCTCCGCTACTTTTAGCTGCTCCTACAAATCTCAGATGCTCCTACTGCGTTCTCAGCTGCTTCCTTTACTACTGGAGCGGCTCCCGGAGTCCTTGCTACTCTGGCTGCTCCCACAATTTGAGACGCTTTTACTGCATTCCCAGCTGCTAATGAAAACAGATCTGCGCAGAGCTGTCTGTAAGGAGAACAGTGTCCTCTGCAACAAGATCTCTTGTTCCTCAACTGCTTCTACAACAGATCTGTAAAGAGTTGTCTGTAAAGAGCAGCGTCTCCTGTCTCTTGGATATCCTAGTTATTCGATGTATCCTGAAAGTCCTAGTTCTCCTATGTGTCCTGAAAGTCCTAGTTCTCCTATGTGTCCTAGATATCCTAGTTCTCCTATGTGTCCTAGATATCCTAGTTCTCCTGTGCTTCCTGGAAGTCCTAGTTCTCCTATGTGTCATTATTATTATTATTATTATTTTTATTTTTATTATTATTATTGAAGAGGTTTGTTCTACCTGATGAAGTATGGATATCTCCAGGGTAACGTGAACTCCTCCACGGACGGGTTGAATAAGTACATGAAGAGCGCAGTTCAGGATTTCCAGGTTAGATAACGTTTTACAAGGTTCAATAACTCTTCAAAACATACTTACGATGAGAGCTTCTGATATTGGATTGCAGAAAAGCTATTTGACAGCAATAAAAAGGTCTGTAAAATTAATATAATCGATTTTTTCTACAAGAATGATATAGAAATATATACTTACATGCAAGATGAATAAAAGATTAAAATACAAATTTTTTGAGAATGTGTTTTATTCAACATTTCTACATTTTAAAACTCAAATATCAATCTAAATAATTATTATTGGTAGGAATTTCAACAATTTATTTTATTCGGCGTTGCGTTAACATGGTTACAATTATAGAAATTATTACGAAACTAAAATTAATTTCATAACCTGGAAAATAAGTGAAAGTTCCACAAAAGAACATATTTTTAATATATTGAGACGTGTGCCAATGCTTATTAATCATAACATCGCAGTTTTATTAACCTTTATTAATCTGTGTAATCACATAAATCTAGACATTTGCTGGGTTGGAACCAACTGGAGTACTTGACCCTGTAACAGTGGAGCTGATGGAAACCCCTCGCTGCGGAGTTAAAGATATTATTGGACATGGAGCTACTGCCAGGAGGAGGAAAAGGTACAGGGTTACCCAAAACAGATAAGAATTCAGAGACGACATATATTCATTCGTATTTCTTACATTCCTGGCTCCCCGCAGCTTTCCNTCAACAATGTATTCTTTCCTTTTGACGATAATATTATGAAATAAGTTGTCAAGAACCTATTCTCTTAATTTTACATTTTATCGAAGCTGTGTCATTCTGGAGTAGAGTATAATGTAAACAAAAACAATAACATTTTTTAAATTAGAATTAAGAGAATTTTCATAATATGAAATTCAGCTAATAAAGTCATTAATACCATGCGTTAAAAAAATTGTGATCAAATTTGAAGTCTTATTTAAATATAGGAAATTGTGAAATCCCAATTTTGCAGAAAATATAATAACATCTGTTTATTTCTTTAAAGTGTTCATTTTGCAGTTCATTAACGAAAACTAGGAGATCATTGTCCAAACTAAAATTTTGATAAAATTCATTAAAGTCCAAATTTCTACTTTGTTTTACATTACAAACTATACAAATTCTTTTTAATATTTTTTTCTTTTTTTAATAATTCTTTAGAAGAACAGATTATCATTCCATATAAATTGTGGTAATTTTTTAAAACAAGTTTCATTAAAGCATTTAACTTTTTTTTTAAATTCCGCTCATTGGACTCTGTAAAAAGACAGCTCAAGGTTACTTTTAAGTTTACCGCTTTTATTCTGGACATATTCGTGTTCATTGACCAACTATTTATGGTAAGCGGTAAAAAAATCCAATTAAATCGTGTTTTCCTAAATACTATACTAATATACAGTACTTATTAAAAATTCTTTTGAAATTAAGTTTCGACAAAGTGATTTTTTTGGGGGGTGAAATGAAATATAATTTGGATGAAACGTGAATTGGGTGAAACGTTATTGGGTGAAACATGATTGGGCGAACTGTTACTACACCCCATTCTACCTCTTACCGGAATTTGGTAAAATAAAGATCGTAACTTTTGCATTGTAAGACCACAAATCTACCTTAATAATTAGTAGTTTTATCCTGAGGTGTAAAGGTGGTTAGTAGGACGTACCTTAAACTCTGATTTGATAATCCCGAGCTTCAGATTAAACAGTAACATAGATCAGTATCTTTTCTCGTCCGAAAATTGTAGTTGATTACTTTTGCTCTTATCGCTTTAAATTAAAAGTTTCCGATGTAGATATCGTTCAGATAGCGCTAATCCAGAACGAATTAATTCCGCTATCTCATACAAAAGTTCCAACCCCTGGTACCATTAATTTCAATAAGTTTACATTTTTGATTAGTTAAGTGCAAATGGATTATATGGATTAAATATGTGGTTCAAGTAGCAAATGGATTATATTGAACAGACATGTGCTTCAAGGGAGCAAATGGATTATACTGATTAGATAAGTGCTTTAATGAGCAAATGGATTATATTGATTAGATATGTGCTTCAAGGGAGCGAATGGATTATATTGAATAGATATTTGCTTCAAGGGAGCAAATGGATTTTATTGATTAGATATGTGCTTTAATGAGCAAATGGATTATATTGAATAGATATAAGTGCTTCAATGAAGCAAAGGGATTATATTGAATAGATATAAGTGCTTCAATGAAGCAAAGGGATTATATTGAATAGATATAAGTGCTTCAAGGGAGCAAATGGATTATATTGAATAGATATGTGCTTCAATGAGCAAATGGATTATATTGAATAGATATAAGTGCTTCAATGAAGCAAAGGGATTATATTGAATAGATATAAGTGCTTCAATGAAGCAAAGGGATTATATTGAATAGATATGTGCTTTAATGAGCAAATGGATTATATTGAATAGATATAGGTGCTTCAAGGGAGCAAATGGATTATATTAACTAGATATGTGGTTCATTGGGAAAATGGATTAAATTGATTAGATATGTGCTACAAGGGAGCAAATGGATTTTATTAATTACATATGTGCTACAAGGGAGAAAATGGATTTTATTAATTAGATATGTGCTACAAGGGAGCAAATGGAGGGTGAATGATCTAACCTACAGAATATCCCAATATCCGAGTACAAATAGGTGAGTAGTGAGCACGAAGCATATTTCGCATATCTAAAATCTAAATGTAGAGTGAAGCAATTAAAAATAACTTTATGGTAAATATTTGTCTAAAAAGTCTTTCTCTTTTTTCGTTGTGCTATTTTTTATTGGTTTCATCAATATCTTTTTACAGAGAGAAAGGAATTGAGTCTTTACCACAAATTCAGTTTTTGTAAAACCTATATTTTTGCAACCTTATGATGCAAACCTTTGATATTTCAAACTTGCATTCTTTGATCTAATAGCATTCATAGTTTGAAATATTAAAAGTCTACGACATTGGGTTACAACGATATTGAAATTAAAAAATCAGAGTTTGTGGCAAAAAGTCAATTTTTTTGTCCCATATTTTTACATTCTCTGCAAAAGGTAAACGAAAATTATAAATTGAATTTAAGCATTTATTTGTAATAAAATATAATCAAATTATTTGCAACAAAATGTTCTATTTTTATTTGTGTTATTGTTTATGTCTAAGTACAGTTGAAAATGCTGGAATGATGAATGATGAACCATGTTGATTTGTGTCGGAGTATTTGACATTTTCATTTTAAACAAGAATTTAATTTTCTTTGTACTTTAATTACATGATTTGTTCAGGCTTAGTAAACAAGAGATAGATTTGCAGTTTAAACAGGCATTCCAGCTTTGGGAGGATGTTACCAGTCTCAGGTTCCAGCTTAGAGATAGTGATCCGGTTCATATAGATATCAAATTTGTCAAGGGAGAACATGGTGACGGAGATCCATTTGACGGTCCTGGAGGAACCCTGGCGCATGCGTACTTCCCACAATATGGCGGAGATATGCACGTGGATGATACTGAATACTGGACAATTGATTCTTTTAAAGGAACTAATCTACTCCAGACAGTTGTTCATGAACTAGGTTTGTACATTTTCACAGTAAAAGAATTTATTTTTCTCAAACATTTAAGTTTCTTTGTATAATTTATAGTTGCATCAACATTTTTCGTTACAGTCACTTTTCCATCATTACAATACGATTTAAAAGTGCTTATGTTGAAAATAATTACAGGACACAGTCTTGGTTTATCACATTCGGACGTCCGAGATTCTATAATGGCTCCGTTCTACACGGGCTGGACTCCGAACCTAAAACTGAGTAAAGACGACATCCAGGCTATTCAGGCCTTGTATGGACCTAACGTGAATGAGGTTAGTTAGGACGGAGAATTGAATTTCAATATAATTAATTAAAATTCAAAGCTTAAAAAATTTTTGTTTGATTTCAGGCCAAACCAACCCCGCCTCCCACAACTAAGCCCCCAGTTCCCATTCAACCTGGAGGTTCAGGACAACCTGAACCCGGTTCGGGAGGTTCAGGAGATACTTCTCTCTGCGAAGATGCATCGATTGATACTATTTTCAAAACAAAGGATGGATCTTCATATGTTTTCAAAGGTGTGGATAAATTATATTTTGCTAATATTTTCTGTTAAAAAGTTATATTGGACTCGACCATCTTATTTTTTAGGTCAGAACTATTGGAAATTGACGGATACAAGTGTAGCGGATGGATATCCTAGGCTGATATCCCAGGACTGGGCTGGATTGCCGGATAATCTAGATGCAGCCTTTACCTGGGACTCAGGAGCAACCTACTTTTTCAAAGGTGGAGAATACTGGAAGTTTGAAAACATGGTTCCGAGTTCAAACTATCCTAAACCTCTCTCCAAAGGGTTCCCGGATATCCCTTCCGATATAGATGCAGCCTTTGTATGGGGCGGAAACGGAAAGATTTATTTCTTCAAGGATAATAATTACTGGAAATTTGATCCTGACCGAACCCCACATGTCCAGTCTGGAAAGTATCCTCGAAGTTTGTCTCTCTGGGGTCTACCTTCAAATGTTGAAGGCTCAATCCAATGGGACAACGGCAAAACATATTTCTTCAAGAAGGGTCAGTACTGGAGGTTTAATGATCTGAGATTTGGTATTGACAGAGGCAACCCTCCATTCCCCCGGAATACCGGAGAATGGTGGTTTGGTTGTCCTAAGGTTCGACCTCTGATTGACGAGAATGCCGGGGTAAACCTACCCGGAGTAAACCTGCCTGTAGTTCAGGCTGTGGAGGACGGAGGAGATGTAGCGGTCAGAATAGATTTATTAAACGAGGAGTATTCTAATACTGCAGGGGACGAGGATCTCGATGCATTCTAGTATTCAAATAAATCATAAAATAAAAAGATAGAAAGGAATTGAGTCTTTGCCACAAACTCTAATTTTCTAATTCCTATATCGTTGCAACTTGTTGGTGTAAACCTTTGACATTTAAAACTTTGATTATTTGATCAAACAGAATTTATAGTTTGAAATATTTAAGGTGTACGACATCAGGTCGGAAAGATATAGGGATTATAAAATCAGATTTTGTGGCAAAGACTTGCAATTCCTTTTTGGACTTTAAAGGGACTGTAATCGTACTTTTGAGCGACCCTCCATGCAAAGATAGCAATGCTCGATTTACAACGGTATCATTGAAACCTGAATCTGATCAAAAATGTGGAAGAAAAATCGGTTTTCTGAGTAAAGAAGTGGTTATTTCTGTAAATTTCTCAAGTGCTTCTTATAAGCAAGAAATGCACTTTTACAGAGAACCTAAAAATGAAAGAAAACAAAACATGCATATATGTAATTCATACTTAATTAGACAAAGCCGAATAAGTTTTCCGGGAACCGTTGTAAATCGGGCATTGCCACGGAGGTTCACAAGAAATTACAATTAAGTTGTTGACAAGTGCCACGCCAATTATTTGTTAAACAGAGATTCTGTAAATCAATCATCCACTCTATAATGATAAGAATGCATTTCTTTAAATTAGCGAATATTAAGCTGTTGACAAGTGTCACACCAATTATTTGTTAAACAGAGATTCTGTAAATCAATCATCCACTCTAAAATAATAAGAATACATTTCTTTAAATTAGCGAATATTAAGCTACTCTTCATTCAAAGAGTGTCAATAAGAATTATAATTGAATAAATGGGGTTTTAACTCCAATTAAAAAAAACGGTTTTAAAATGCAAAACTGAAAATATGTAATTGTAAAACTTTTTCATTGATTGAAGTTACAAACATTACGTTGATAATCCCTGTAAAATAGTACGCGGTGCATTTAAGAAATTACAAAATATAACCACTTATATTTTAACCCTAAATATTTATTCGATTTTGAACTTTCCGAAATTTTGAGTTAGTCAAAATTTCTAAAATTTAGTTTAAAATAATTTTTTATATCATCATGTATTTATTGTATATGTAAACCATGGAATAAATTAGAGAACTTTTAATTTTTTTTTTATTTATCAGACATTATGTTTTTTATTAAGTCAGGCAATAATAACCTGGTTTTCTCTTTTAGATGCTTTAAGCCCTGTTCTATACTTTCCAGCTCTTCTTGAACCTTTCAGATCTTTTATAAACCTTTCAGATCTCTTATAAACCTTTCAGATCTCTTATAAACCTTTCAGATCTCTTATAAACCATTCAGATCACTTATAAACCTTTCAGATCTCTTATAAACCTTTCAGATCTCTTATAAACCTTTCAGATCTCTTATAAACCATTCAGATCACTTATAAACCTTTCAGATCTCTTATAAATCTTTCAGATCTCTTATAAACCTTTCAGATCTCTTATAAATCTTTCAGATCTCTTATAAACCTTTCAGATCTCTTATAGACCTTTCATATCTCTTATAAACCTTTCAGATCTCCTATAAACCTTTCAGATCTCTTATAAACCTTTCAGATCTCTTATAAACCTTTCAGATCTCTTATAAACCTGTCAGATCTCTTTTAAACCTTTCAGTTCTCCTTTAAATTTTCAGTTCTCCTCTAAATATTTACTGGTCTCTTGACCCAGTATACTTCGTAGTTCTGCTTTAGGCTCTACGACAAACCTTTTTCACAAAATGCTTTTTTTCAACTTTGAAATTTTCTTAAAAATTCTTATGTAAACATCACAATTATTCCGCAAACCTCAAAACTTTCCTACAAACCATTAAGTTCACGTTTGCACCTCATAATTTTTCTTTAATCTTAAAAGTTATCCGGTTGGACTATATACTCTCAAGTTCTCCAGTTGGACTATGTACTCTCTAGTTCTCCAGTTGGACTATATACTCTCAAGTTCTCCAGTTGGACTATGTACTCTCAAGTTCTCCAGTTGGACTATGTGCTCTCAAGTTCTCCAGTTGGAATATATACTCTCAAGTTCTCCAGTTTGAATATATACTCTCAAGTTCTCCAGTTGGACTATGTACTTTCTAGTTCTCTAGTTGGACTATATACTCTCTAGTTCTCCAGTTGGACTATGTACTCTCAAGTTCTCCAGTTGGACTATATGCTCTCAAGTTCTCCAATTGGACTATGCACTCTCAAGTTCTCCAGTTGGACTATATACTCTCAAGTTCTCCAGTTGGACCATATACTCTCAAGTTCTCCAGTTGGACTATATATACTCTCTAGTTCTCCAGTTGGAATATATACTCTCAAGTTCTCCAGTTGGACTATGTACTCTCAAGTTCTCCAGTTGGACTACATACTCTCAACTCCAGGATGTTAACACTGGTAAAAAAGGCCTTACATCAAGATATGTTTAATTTATTCATTGAACTGTTTTAAACAAACTCTTTTCATTGAAAATTGTTTTCTTATTTTGATTTATTTTGTGGACCAAGTACTTAGAGCGTTATAAAAAGTACCCTAATGATAACGAATTTTTACATATTCAAACATGACCCTAATCATAATTATTAAAATTAAGATAAAACCCAACAGAAAATTTTAGATAAAAATGTCTGTGTAATCCAGGGCCGAAGTTTTTTTGAAAAATTTTCCCATCTCTATCCTCTGTTTCAGAAATATATTTTTTAAGCATTAATTTAACGTATCAAGAAATATTTTTTTTTAACCTGATGCAAAAGCATTATCTGTAAAGAAAACCTACGTAATGAAAATTGACACGCTAAGATAAGAAGAAACCCTGATAACAAGATGAGACAAGAAGACCATAAACCTTACAAGGATGAGGTTGCTTATTCTTCTCTCTTTCCTCTCCACCCTTGCTCTGGCATACAGACCACTCAGGCCCCAGGTACAATAGAAATTAGTTGTAAATTTCTATATTACATACAAACAAATATTTAAAATGTATTTACATATAGTAAATACTTAATTTTGAAATATTTAAAAAAAGATATAATGAATAATTTCTTTAAATGTTTTGCAGCCGGTCCGAAACTTCCCTAAGACTAGAGTAGAGGATGTCGGAGAACCTCTGTTTCTCACCCCCTACATTGAATCTGGAGATGTGGAGACAGGGCGCAACCTCGCCAGGGTTGACTCCACCCTCCTGGAGGTCACTAGATTTTATAAAATTTTGAATTACATTTAGAATATTTTTAATTTAGACATAATATGTAAGTTCTCAATTTCATAGAAAATTCCTAATCAAGAGTCAATTTCAAACATTCAAAACCTGTTGTTTAAATATTTTAAATATCTTTTTGTCCTTATAGGGAACACACAGTGATATCGAGAGCTACTCTGGGTTCATTACTGCAGACAAGGAGAACAATGGAAACATGTTCTTCTGGTTCTTCCCTGCAGCAGAGAACCCTGATACTGCTCCAGTAGTAATCTGGCTCCAGGGAGGACCTGGAGGTTCATCTATGTTCGGACTCTTGAAACTCCACGGACCTTTACTCTCTGGAGATGATGAAAACGGAAACTTTGGAGTTCGTGACAATCCTTACTCCTGGCATAGAAAACATAATATCATATACATTGATAACCCAGTCGGAGCAGGTATAACCCAGTAAGAAAAATGATTGAATATAACTTTCCATGCTAAAAAAATGTCTAGGTTACTCCTTTAGTGACAAGCTGCCTGAGACCCAGGATGACGTGTCCCAGAACCTGTACAACATGCTCCAGCAGTGGTTTAAACTCTTCCCTATGTACCAGGTAATGTACCTTAGTTAGGGTGCTCCGTGCGTTTTATTCTTATTTCAATTTTATCCTTTTATAGTTTACTTTGGATCGTTGAATCTTTGCGAAGGTATTATCGAGATGTTAAAGCATATTTGATCATTTGATGAATAATTTAGAGCTGGGGGATAATTATTTAGAGCACGATATTATTCTGAATAGCAGGGGCGTACGAGGGGGGGGGGCCTGAGGGGGGGCACCCATTCAAAAAATACTTTAAATCTCACTTTTGCCCTTAACTTTGATATCATTATTCATAATTATACAATATGTATCGTTTCCATGAAAATATAAATATTTTTAAAGAAACGTTTCCATCTCTATTTTTCACCCATTAAAGCTTACACCAGTCACAGTATTAAGAGGAAGTGTCTGATGAGTCCACTTAAGAAAATTATATAAATAATTTATTAACACTTGTTATATGGAAATGTGTATATGATCGAATAGTTTATATAGTTTAAAAGGTATCGTTATTTTTTTTAAAAGGGGGTTTAAAGGGGGGGCACCAAATTTTTTCCGCGCTGACTCGCGCATGAATGTCCCTCCGCCCATACACAAATACTCTCGTACGCCCCTGCTGAATAGCTACTAGGCTTCGGTGTCTAAACGGTTTAAATACGAAAATTCTGATCTCAGGTTCTTTTCAATTTTTTTTTCTCAGGGCAACGACTTCTATCCCTTCGGAGAGTCCTATGCCGGGAAGTTTGTTCCTTCAATTGCTAAAAAGATTCACGAGGAGAACAGTAATCCTGATAATATCAAGTATGTAGTCTAGTTTATACTGTCAGGACTAGTAATCCTGATAATATCAAGTATTAGTTAATACTGTCAGGACTAGTAATCCTGATAATATCAAGTATATAGTCTAGTTTATACTGTAAGGACTAGTAATCCTGACAATATCAAGTATATAGTCTAGTTTATACTGTCAGGACTAGTAATCCTGATAATATCAAGTATATAGTTTAGTTAATACTGTCAGGACTAGTAATCCTGATAATATCAAGTTTATAGTCTAGTTTATACTGTCAGGACTAGTAATCCTGATAATATCAAGTATATAGTCTAGTTTATATTGTCAGGACTAGTAATCCTGACAATATCAAGTATATAGTCTAGTTTACACTGTCAGGACTAGTAATCCTGAAAATATCAAGTATAAAGTCGAATTTATACTGTCAGGACTAGTAATCCTGACAATATCAAGTATATAGTCTAGTTTATACTGTCAAGACTAGTAATCCTGATAATATCAAGTATGTAGTCTAGTTTATACTGTCAGGACTAGTAATCCTGATAATATCAAGTATGTAGTCTACTTTATACTGTCAGGACTAGTAATCCTGATAATATCAAGTATATAGTTTAGTTAATACTGTCAGGACTAGTAATCCTGATAATATCAAGTATATAGTCTAGTTTATACTGTCAGGACTAGTAATCCTGATACTATCAAGTATATAGTCTAGTTTATACTGTCAAGACTAGTAATCCTGATAATATCAAGTATATAGTCTAGTTTATACTGTCAGGATTAGTAATCCTGATAATATCAAGTATGAGTTTAGTTAATATTGTCATGACTATAGTAATCTCGGTAATATCAGTTTTTTTTTATCCCTATATCGTAAATCTTATATATTTCAAACTATTAACTCTGTTAGATCAAATACTCTTAGTTTGATATAAAAAAACTTACACCATCAGGTTGAAAAGATTTAGGGCTTAGAAATTTGAATTTGTGGTAAAGACTCAATTGATTTAGTCTATATTGTACTGTCAGGACTATTGCAATTGATTTAGTCTATATTGTACTGTCAGGACTATTGCAATTGATTTAGTCTATATTGTACTGTCAGGACTATTGCAATTGATTTAGTCTATATTGTACTGTCAGGACTATTGCAATTCTTATCAAAACTGTAATTTCAGTACTAAAACAGTTTAAACCTGTACTAGTGAAGCTTGTCCTATTTGGAAATTTTCTTATCAGAATAAATCTGGCGGGGTTGGGAATAGGAGATGGATGGATGTCTCCCTTTCATAATGCAAGATACGGAAACTTCCTTTATCAGGTTAAATAATATTCTTATCTTCAGAGATTCTTGTCATGGGAAAAAAAACTTCTTAAAATTTATTTATTAAAAATTATTCATCACAATCAACATAAAAGAAAAAAGTTTTAAATATATTTAATGATGAAGATATTGTTAAGGTCGGATTAATTGATGAAGATATTGTTAAGGTTCAGGGGCGGATACAGGATTTAAGTGAGGGGGAGTTTTTAGGAAGAAAAAAAATTCATAATTAGGAACAAAAAATCGTGCCGCAGGTGACAATTTTTTTTGACTTAAAAGACTCAAAAAGAGTCAAAATTAATGAATAAAGACTAAAAAACTAGATTTTTAACTTTTCACACATTATTGTTTATTAAGACAGATATTTTTCCTGTTTTGCACTGGGGTTTCTTTCCCTTAAGCATGCTATTGAGAAGCTATTCTGAAAATAGGAACAAAAAATTCCAAATTCAGGGGGGGGGTGCTACGCCCCTCCCTGAATCTGTCAGGGGGGGCGAATGTCCCCCCGCCCCTGTTAAGGTTGGATTAATTGATTAAGGTATTGTTAAGGTTGGATTAATTGATGAAGGTATTGTTAAGGTTGGATTAATTGATGAGAATGAACTATCTTTATCCTTGAATATGGAATCAGAAACACAATCTCTCATCAATGAGGAACAATGGTAAGACCGTAAGACAACATGGAGAACAGAATAAATTCAAATTATTTCTATTTCTGTTCTAAATCGGTTGAAAAGTTTTAAATTTTTAATAGAAAAATTCAAAATTTATGCAAATTATTTCTTTTGGAACTCACTAAAATATTGACAACTTTGGCACAAACTTTGATTTTCTAATACCTATATCTTTGCAACCCAATCTTAGAGACCTTAGACATTTCAACCATATGAAATTTGATGGATCAGAAAAACTAAGTTTGAAATAAAAAATACACCATCAGGTTGCAAAGATATTAGGATTAGAAAATTTGAGTTTGTGGCAAAAACTCAATTCCTTTTTAGACAGTCTCGACTTGGTTTTATTTCACCAACTCACTTTTTTTATTTATTTTTAATCTGAAAATCCCACATAAATATTAAAGCTCTCAGAAATATTTATCCAGAACGGTTAAGTAAAAAAACATATTTAATGTACTATATACAAAACATTGTACATGACTTTCATCAGTTAAAGATATATAGACAATTCAGTTTCATTTAGTTTGAATTTTTTTTTTAAATTTCTTTCTTGGACAATCAATGAAAAACAAGTTTGTTGTTATAAGATTTGGTCTAGAATAAAAATTAGAGGAGTTATGAGGTCGCAAAGTTTGATCGGTGATGCCGCGTAATTTTTGAAATTATTCACACCAAGATACCTGATTGTAAGGTATGATGCCTGGCTGTCCTGGAACAATGAGTTTGGATATTTCCTGGACAGGATGGAGTACAGTTACTACTACGAGATAACTCAGGCAGATTACGATCCCTCAGAGGACGATTACGAGATATTCTGTAACCTTGAGTCAACTAGGTTAGTACTAGGATAGTCTCTAAACATGGCCCTGGAGAAACTGTCTTTTGGGTCCAAGTTGTTTAAAATAAGAAACTTTAATAATCTTTATAGTACATTATTGTCGATAGAATTAGCCAGGGTGTTGTCATGGTTTTTAAGTATTCAGTTTTACGGTTTAAACTATTTGATTTAAAAAGGCATTAAACTAAAATTACCACGATGAGTTCAATACCAGGGGCGTATCTATATATATAACTAGAAATTCAAGGCGCTTCGCGCCCTTCTTTCTAGGCTTTTAGATGAAAAAAATTTTGCGGATTTTCAAAAATTTAATTTTTTTTACAAAATTATAAACCTTTAAAACACAAATTTTTAAAATTTCAATCATTCATAAACCGTCCCTGGGGTCCCTAGATGTCCCACAAAAAATTTGGGCCCGATCGGTTCAGCCGTTTTGACGTTTATTGGATACAAACAAACAAACAGACAGAAAGACAAGCCTTTATATATAGAAGTTGTAATCTCTGTTTGTATGTCCAATCGTATAGCACGTGTGCTGTAAATTTTTGATTGGTTCCCGGATTTTCTTCAAAACTATTAGAATATTTCCAAAATATTTTTTCAATTGAAATGAAAATAAAATTGAAATCAACTTCATATTTTGACTTCTGCTTTGTTCCAAAGCTTGTTTGATCTTTAAATAGCCATTGATATAAGACTTAAATTTTCTCTACATCTCGAAGGTTCTCGCCATTTTAGATTATATTTTGTTAAATCTAAAAAGGCTTGAACCTTCTCGATAAAGAGAAAATTTCTGTCCAAAAACTTCATAACACTGCGAAGCAAAATAACAGTGTAATAAATAGTTATTAAATTCCAGGGGGGGGGGAGGCTTAGCCCCCGCTGAATGGTATGTACATATTTGTAAATCTTAATCTATTTCTAGAGAAGCCCTGCATGTTGGAACCCTGGAGTACCCTAACTCCGGAGACGTTTACTTCTCTATGATCAACGACTTCATGCAGTCCTCCATTCATGATATAGAGTTCCTCCTCGAACAATATAAGGTATAACTTATTTTTTTGTTTGTAAATATGTTGTACGCCAATAGGGATTTCAACTTCTCTCATATTAGCTCGCAAAAGAGGACGTACTCGACGCACACGATCAGGATCCACATCTTACATTGAGATGAAACTCATTTAGGACAAATTTTAAGGACGGTCAAAGTAAATGCACGTTAAGAACTAAAGAAATTGTAAAATACATGCGCCCCGGAAAGGTTAAAATGCAAGGAAAGTTAATTGCAGTTGCGTATACTCTGCGTACATATTGAAGCCAGTTCTCTCTGGGCGGAATTTGTAAACAAGTATAGATGCATCAGTGTTCGTTTAGTATCCGAGGAGGTTAAAAGCATTAAATTTTGATAATTTTGTTGATTCACATAAAAGTTTCCGATGACCAGAATATTTCATTGATTTTTATGTGAAAGATGGATCCCATATCAGGCTTCGACATTCGTCTTGTGTTTACATTACCGCCCAGAGACAGTACACTGCAGTACAAAAAATTCGTAAACCAGCTCTGAAATAACTTTCCTTGCATTATAACCTTGCGGCCAAGCAATATTTATAGTAGGACTACAAAATTTCTCACAAAATAAATATTGAATGGGATAGGGGGAGGGAATGTATTAGTCGAACAATGCATCTATCACAGATAAAACAGAGAGAACCGAAGAAAATATTCCGATAACTTCTCTGTTAATACAGGGTTATCCATAAAGGATGAGACTCTAAGTCCTTCAGAGACGACTAGTCTTGATAATAACATTTTAAGTTGCTCACAAGAATACTGTCCTTTCTTTCTTTCACAGATAATATTTATTACGATTATAAAAGACAAAGGCGGAAGAACAGAAACAACGTTCAGATTCAGATTTAATCATAGGTCGTCATTAAAATCTCATAATTTATGGATAACTCTGTATGTAGATAGTTTAAGTAACTCTAAATATTACACATCTCTTTTATTTGTGTAAACTTTCAACTTTTAATAATGATATTTTTCATTTAAAAAAAAGGCTATGCAATTATTGTAAATGTAAGAAAATTCCTAGAAATAATATGTTTGTTTTGACTGAAAAATGGAGTTTAATTTCGAACTACATAATTTGTCTAAAACACTGAATCTTGTAGGTTTTAATCTACGACGGAAATTTTGATATTATCTGCAATCATTCCGGTATTTTGGATCTAATCAATGATATGGAATGGAGCGGAGCTGCTGAGTATAGGTAGGTTCTTTTCAAATAGGTAAGTACCTTTCCGATAGGTAGGTACTTTCCCGATAGGTAGGTACTTTCCCGATAGGTAGGTACTTTTCCGATAGGTAGGTACTTTTCCGGTAGGTAGGTACTTTTCCGATAGGTAGGTACTTTACCGATAGGTAGGTACTTTTCCGATAGGTAGGTACTTTTCCGATAGGTAGGTACTTTCCCGATAGGTAGGTATTTTTCCGAAAGGTAGGTACTTTTCCTATAGGTAGGTACTTTTCTAATAGTAATGTACTTTTTCGAAGGTTATGTTCTTTCATGATGCGTAGGTACCCTGCTGTTAATAGAGTTAATATAGGTAGGTACCTTTCTAATATGTAGGTATCTTGCTGTTGACATAGGCAGGTACCTTTCGATGGTTAAGTACTTTGCTGTCAGGTATCTTGGTTTTGTTAGTATAGAAAGGTACATTTCTATTATTAGGTAAAATATTGGTAACTTTCTGGTAGGTACTAGGTCTACTAGGTACCATTCTAAAAAGTAAGTAGACTGTAGAAGTGTAGATATATTGCTGTTATTATAGTCTGGTCATTTCATACATGATGAGGGTATTTTGATATTAATCTAGAAAGGTACTTTAATCTGTAAAGTATACATATATATATATAGGATCCTATACAGTGATAACCAGAAAACAATGGATAGGAATAGGAAGTCGAGGTTATAGGAATACTTAAGTATATTTGATGTTGTTACAAAGAAAATAGTTTTATTAGACTTTTTAAAGTTATAACTTGATTCTAAAAGTCAGTGATCTTCCTATTTTAGAGTATTATGGGTGAATTCGATAGGACTAATGATTAATTGAACTATAAACGTTCAGTGGAACTAACGTTCAAAAGGACAATAGTCCTTATGAAAAAATATTCGTTCATTGAACTAAACCCCACGAGGAGACATTCCAACCATATGGAATTTTTTTTTATTAATCCCGTCTAGAATTGGGTCATTCTGAACAAATATTAGAACAAATGAACAAAAAAAGTTAAGGACTAAAACCGTAAAAAGTGGGGAAATCCTTAATAGTTCAAATGAGCTAAAGCTAAAATTTTTATCATTTTGCCACAATTTCCAAATTATTTCAAACAATTACACATATTTAGAACAAATGAACAAAAAAATGTTCATTTAAACTAAAGCATAATTAAATTTTCATCATTTTGCCACAAGTTCCAAATTAGTTCAAACGAACAATTTTTCTGACCGAAAATGTTCCTTATAGGACTTAAGTTGCAGAAGCACTAAAATTTCCGAGAAAATATTTAGTCCATTTGAACAATTTCGTGTGGAAGTTCAAATTAGGACTGACGTTGCAGAAGCATTAAAATTTCCAAGGAAATGTACATTTGAACAATTTTTCTGTGGAAAATTTTTGTTACGGCTAACGTTCGATAGCACTTAAATTTCCATGAAACTATTTTATGGTTCATTTGAACAATTTTTCTTTGAAAATTGTTATGTTCACATGCCATAAAATCGCACAAAGATCAATTGCACTAATGATAAATTACAAAAAATAAAAATGGCGGGAAAAAGATATAATTAGTTCAATTCGTTTAATTGAACGTTGAATGTTGATTTTGTTCATATGGAAAAATGTTCAAATGTTCACAGCTGACTTTAGTGCATGTCAAATCGGCCTTTAGTCTTTTCGATATAGCATCGTTTTATGTACTGTATGATGTGAAAAACGCAAAATGAACATTTATATTTGACTAAATACCGGGCTACCCCATAAAGTTTGAGACGTTAATAAGGACCTGGACCTTTTAACATATACCTATCTAAGCATTGAATAATTGCATTTTTAAAAGATATTAACAAACCTGCATTGCAGGGTACCAGAAATTTGAGTTAAAGGCCCAATAAATTTGTCTCTGAGGCCTCATCCCTTATGAATAATCCTGTTTTAAAGCTTTTAAATTTTATTTCAATCCATACTCTCCAGTATTTTTATAAGAACTCTTTATTTTTAGCTCAACGGTGAGGACTGCGTATAGATACGAGAACGAGTTGGTGGGATATCTCAAGCAAGCACAGAACCTGAACCTTCTCCTGGTAGGAATCTTGTACTTGAAATGTTAGTCACAATCCTAGATACTCCAACAGGGCTACCCTAATTATTGAATTAATTGTAAATATCTATGAATGACATTTTTCTTAGATGGATTATTTCCAACAAGGTTCAGAGAGTTCAGAACACTTTACAATTGGAATTATCACTTGACGCAAACTCACTTATATCATTGTCTTTCCAACTTGGTTTTGTAGAGGCCGAATTTAAAGAATTTCAGCCGCGGCTTCAATATGGTTGGTTCCACTTAAATTTGTATTTAATTTTTCAATTAAAACCGGTTTTTGGAGGATTTAAGACGTGGCTTAAATTCATTAAATTCGGACATACACCTTTCATTTTCCAAACTGTCAATTCTGTTAAATAATCAAATTTAGAAAAATCAGGTCTTGGATCAGGAATTTTTCAATGTATAAATTAGTTTTAGTGTAAGTAATGCATGCGGGTTCTATGAACTATTTATAATTTTTTTTGGCACAAAAGCTTGGACAAAATCAGTTTATTATTTTCATACTTTTCAAAAATAGATTTGAAACCTGAGCTGTTGTATGGTATTGAACAAGAATAAGGGAATGAAGATTATTATATTATATTTAGGTTCGGAACGCAGGTCACATGGTTCCTTTAAGCCAGCCTGCCTGGGCCCAACAGATGCTTGAGGATTTTACAAGTGGATCTTTGTAATCTACTGTGCAACGTGAAGGGAGTGTTTACAAAAAATATATTCCTCCTTTTATTTAGTTAATACTCCCTTTAAACTCGAGAAGAATTCGTCTATTTAGAACAGTCTATATTTGCAGAAGTTTAATGTTTAATAAACGAATTTAATATAAAATTTTCTGAGTTACATACATTTATACAAAACTAAGAATAAAAGTTTTTGAAAATATTACATATAATAGGGTGTTCTTTTAGCTCTTCCACCTCAGTACATAACACACAGTTGTATAACTTGTGGGTGAAAATAATTTTTCTCCCACTAGTTAAAAAAGTACCAAAAAGAAAAAAAAAACTCCATCCAAATTTTGATTTCCCCCAGATCATCAAAGAAAATTCGTAAAAATAGGAGGGGGTTTGTGATTCTTAAAATAGACACCCCTCACAGAACATCAACCTTTCTCAATACATAATTGAATTTGAGAATAGAAGTAAGGAGAAGTGGATTGTAAATGTTTACTGTTATATTATCTGTGACGTAAAAAACTAATTTTACATATGTATTGTAACATTGACAAAGATTGCAATCAAGACTAGGTATGAGGTTTCTTACAATATAACTAGTTCAGGATTTCAAAAAAATGAAAATTAAAAAAAAGGAAAGGTTGGTAATGTGGCGGTTTTGGTTGAGTAGTAGGCCTGAAGTACAAAATATTTAGTATAGGATAAAATTGTGTGAAGGTTGTCATCATCAAATGAGGTATACTTTCAGCATAGCACAGCGCTGCAAAGCTGAAAATATTAATTCTCTTATTTTTCTTTTTCAATCTTACTTTTATGAATTCAGAACTCAGTCAGGCAAAAATATAATTACATATTCTCGGTTAAATTTCCTAAACATATATTCATTACTAAATTTAATAAACAATACGTAGAAAAAAATAATAAAACATTAAATTTAAGATTGAATCTAGAGAAAGACGGATGTAGTATAAGAGAAAGAACTATCCGCTGTTAGATTCAACAATTAAATCAGGGGGAGATTTCTCCGTGCTAGAAGGAGGAAGGGTGGGAGCAGCTAAACCTCCATATAGACTGTTGACTGCACCTTGCTGTCTTATCTTGATTATTTTTTCTCCAACCTTAAGATAAACACCCTTAGGGGTTCGGATCACTGTGATGTTTTCTCCGGCTTTAAGATGAATGGGGGATTCGGAGGGATTGGTTGGAATAATAAGATCTCGTGGAACCTTGACTTGCTCCATCCCAAACCCTTGCCGGGATAAGGCTTCCATGGCAGAGTTTGCGTTAATTGTTTTACGTCGAGGTTCCTCCATATTTAAATGCATTCTCCCTTGTGTAATGTTTTTACTGGTTGGAGTTTGAACACTGTCTGATGAAGAGGTACTTGGAGAAGGTTCATTAAGCGTGGAGGACAGAGAACCATTACGGTCTTTTTCAATGGTTGGGTTCGAATTTGGAATATTTTCGAATTCTGAAAGTTGGTGTGGTGAAAATTGATTTACAGAGCTTCCAAAATCCGGGTCTAAAGGAACAGGCCGGACACTAGCAACTGGTCTTGCGTCAGGAATACCACCGTACGGAGATATCCAGGAGTCGAGCCTCTTTCCGTTCTCGTAATAACGGTTACGGGTAAATCCGTTTGCACCCGGATTATGAAGATTGGTTGCAAATGATCCTTGTTTGGGATAGAATGCCGCATAGCTTGGTCTGCTATAGGATATTTTCGAGGTTTTCTCCATTTTGTAGGCTCTCTCAGCTAATTTCTTCTCGTGCTTGGACAGTTTGTTATCTTGTCGATCAACTAGAAGGGATTCGTGAGAAAAAGGCAGTTTAGTGAGCATGTGTCCGAACTTGGAAATTATTTGTTTCATCACAGGATCTTGGAAACCTTGAAGATGCTGTGTCATATCCTCGATAACAGGATCTTCATCCTCGTCACAGATAAGGCTGTGAACCTCCTTGGAGCTGAGATGAGCGTCAGGGTTCATCTCGTCAACAATCCTGTCAGACATTCCCTGCTTGTTGATTTGTCTGTCATAGATCTTTTTCTCCAGGGAGTTGTCGGTGACAAGTCTGTAAACGTGAGTCTCCTTTGTTTGTCCATACCTGGAACACAAGTTAAAACTAATTATTAAAAAAAAAAATGTTAAAACTTTTTCCCCCTCCTAGTATGGTTATGAAACATTAGTTTTATAAAAGAGATCAATTTTATGAAAAACCCCACCAAAAATAACCTATGCCCAGTAGGAGGACTGATCCTAGTTAATGTATCCGTGTATAGTGTATTGTGTACCTATAAACCCTGCAGACTGCTTGAGTGTCATGACATGGATTCCAGGACGCATCAAAGATTACAACCCTGTTAGCTCCGACAAGGTTTACTCCCAAGCTACCAGCTCGTGTTGAGACGAGGAATAATTTTAATCTTTGGTCTATGTTGAACGAATTTATCAATCGTTCTCTCTCCAGGGCATTCGTACTTCCATCCAATCTGTAGTAGTTTGCACCGTTCTTCCAATGCTCCTAAAAAGTAACAATTCATAACTAAACTTAAGCAAGCTCTTTGATTAATTAATTAAATAAATTATCGTGAAAGATCCCCAACATGAAATCACCAGACCGCCATCGGACGTTAAGGGACTGATCCCAATACAACATAAATTATTTCAACCGAAATTAGTGCTTACAAATAGTGATAATAACACCACTGAAAAATCATCATACATCCACCTATCTAACAAATTCTAAGATAAACAAAATACTTTTTCAATATTCAACTTTGAGCACGTCCGCCCCGAGGCCGGGCGGGGACAACATAAAAAATTATTTATATCTCTAAACTTAAAGAAATCATATTTCGTAAAAACCCCGGCAATCTTGATTTTTTTTACCTGGGAGTTCGGTACGGTTCTCTTCTGGAGAAAATTTTCTAACAGATTGAGAGTACACAGAGATTGAGAGAAGAGAAGAAGTCTATCTCCGTACTTTACAGACTCCTAAATTAGATAAATTTTATTATTTATAAAATTTTATAATATATACTTCAGATGTAAGCAAGGACTTGAGACAGTTATTTAACTCACGTAGATAAAAGTGCAAAATCCTCTCCTCGTACTTTAGTTTGGTCTGGAGTTAGGAGTACTTTAGTTTGGTCTGGAGGTAGGAGTACTTTAGTTTGGTCTGGAGGTAGGAGTACTTTAGATTGGTCTGGAGTGAGGAGTACTTTAGTTTGGTCTAGAGGTAGGAGTACTTTAGTTTGGTCTGGAGTGATGAGTACTTTAGTTTGGTCCGGTGTGAGGAGTACTTTAGTTTGGTCTGGAGCGAGGAGTATTTTAGTTTGGTCTGGAGTTATAAGTACTTTAGTTTGGTCTGGAGTTATAAGTACTTTAGTTTGGTCTGGAGTGAGGAGTATTTTAGTTTGGTCTGGAGTGAGGAGTATTTTAGTTTGGTCTGGAGTTATAAGTACTTTAGTTTGGTCTGGAGTGAGGTGTAAATTTGTTTAGTCTGATATATCTCTCCTGCTAGTATATATGCAGCAAAACTGGATAGCTATGTCTCCTTTCTGGATAGATAACTCTCTCCTGCTAGTATATATATGTCGCAAAACTGGATAGCTATGTCTTCTAACGAGCATATATGTATAGTATTTACCTCCTAACTGGATAGATAAATCTCTCCTGCTGGCATATATGTCGCAAACTGGATACCTATGTCTTCTAACGAGCATATATGTATAGTATTTACCTCCTAACTGGATAGAAAAATCTCTCCTGCTGGCATAAATGTCGCAAACTGGATAGCTATGTCTGCTAACAATATTATGTACATCTATCTGGATAGCTAGCTTTTCTAACAAGTTTATATGCCTCCTAACAAGATATTTAGGTCTAACTTAAAAAGAACCAGTTCTCCTAACATGCGTCGATGCGTCCTAAGGAAATGTGTCGATGAAAATAGCTAAAGTTCCTAACTGTTAATATGTTAGTTACCTCTAAAATAACTAGGGTTCCTAACTGTTAATATATTAGTTACCTCTAAAATAGCGAGGAAAACCTGGAGTTTATTACTGAACTCAACCTTCTCAGCCTGGTAACCACTCAACATACCCTGAACAGTTAAACTATGTATACGTGGGGGAGGAGAATGAATAATACAAACAACCAATGAATAACTTCTTAAAATTACAATAAATTCGAATAATCAATGACAAGTGTTCAATGTTAACCGTTGTCTGTATTTTTAACAACAAATCAATGAATCACATAAAGAAAAAATGTATGAATCAAATTGGAGATTGCGAACTTATTATATCTAAGGACAAGGAATTAGAAATGAATTTTTCACCTGGGCCCAATCATAGTTTATCTCCTCCTTTTTCCCGTCCACGAGTAAACTCATCTCAAACTCCCCCTTCGCCCCCTTCCCCTTCATCACGATCTCCTCCGGGTCAAAGTCAATATCAAGTTCTTCCTTCTTCTTTAGGAAATTGTACAATACGTCTGGGTGATTCCAGATCTTGCAGCAAACAGCAAAGGCTTTCAGGGGGTTAGAAACACATCTATTAACAAATATTAGTTTTCAAACCTAGCAAATAATCTTTTACAGGGATCGCTTTAGGCATCCTTCGTATGAACACAATTAAAAATTTCAAGGAGAAATGGATCCAAAGATTAAAAAGTTATGACGAAGTCTAAATTTTAAGGTTAGTTCTCTAAATTTCGAAAGAATTTTTAAGATTCTTCAAAACATGCGGAGCAATTAAATGTTCTTAGCTTGGTTGAGATTCTAAATTGAGTGGGTCGACTTTTATCGGGAAAAATAGCAAAAATCTTGATTCACGATAAGGGGTGTGTACAGAGGAGTGGAACAAACTATGAATACCCTGGTCCACGCTGGGTTCCCAAGCTAGTACAGAATAAAGTTTCTAAAAACTCAATCAAGAATTTCAAAAATTTCAAAAGTTTATTTAATCTCTCGCGAACAAAAACTAAGAGAGGAAAGAAGAAAAATTCGGAAAAATAAAAGTAATTCCGATTTCGAAAACCTGTTTGTAATGAGCTCCTCCATAAACCGCTTGTAGAGCCTCCTCTGTATCTCAGTCAGCCGTATAAACAGAACGTGTTCTCTCTTCATGGGAAGAGAGTTCTTGAGAACCACGTGACCTCTCCTAAATAGAAAAAATTACTTCTGAGCTAATTCAAGATAACTCGTGGTTTCAAGGTCCAATCAGTTATACTCACGGAGAAACGGTTTTGTCAGATTCTTAAAAACATGGAAAAATCAGCTGTATCTGTAAAAGTGACGTTCACAAACACTTTTAGAACCAAAATTACCTTTGAATGAATCCTTTCAGTTGCTCATGAAGCACATGAGCTCGGTGCTTCATCAGACGAACATCTACAAAATTTAAGAATTATAGTTTTATTTACATGCATATATTTTAGTTAAGAAACCAACCCCGGCCTATTTATAGCATCAAAAATATTGATTGTAAGAATGCTAAATGATTTTGTAAAAATATTTCAGATTGTATATTTCACTTAACAATTCCAAACCCGGAATAATTAAGTTCTCAAACATAATTATTTCTGAGAATGATAAATGATTTTGTACTTTTCGTCAGTTTTAAATATGTAAATCAAAATCTGTTTCTTTCTTAATATGAATATGATAAATATTACCTTTTGGTGTAGAATCAATGCACTGTCCGTTCTGTATCGGACGCTCAAACATATTGGAGAACTCCGTCTTGTTTCCAAGAAAATTAGGACGAACAAAGTCTACCATACACCAGTACTCCATCAGGTTATTTTGCAGCGGATAACCTGATCAAAACAGGATTAACATAGGAGATTATCAATTTAATCAAAATGTTTAATAAAGGTAAAAAAGAACCTGTTAGTACAATCCTTCTCCGGGTTTTGATTATCTTAAGAGCTTGTGAGATGGATGCATGAGAGTTCTTGATCCTGTGCCCCTCGTCACATACAACAAGATCAGGGCCAGGATTTATTAAAGCACGCTTTATATCTGTAATTAGAATTTATTAAGAGTTTGTAGAGGATATGAAATCCCCGAAAGAGGATTATGAAATCCGCAAATGAGTTGTGTCGGACCCTGGAACCGGAGAAGACCTTCTCAACTTCCTCTCCTTTTATACACTCTTTATTTAATATGTATTTATATTATAGAAGCAATAAATGTACTTCTAAAAGTTAAGCGAACCATTCTGATATCTGCCTTCGGGATAGAGAATTATCAGGATGATCCTGCACCGGAGATTATTACTTCACTATGTATCATCAGGACTAATCCTGCTCCGGAGTACTAGATTATTCCTTTACTATGTATTATCAGGACTAATGCTGCTCCGGAGTACTAGATTATTCCTTTACTATGTATCTTCAGGACTAATGCTGCTCCGGAGTACTAGATTATTCCTGAACTGGGTATCTTCAGGACTAATCCTGCTCCGGAGTACTATATTATTCCCTTACTATGTATCATCAGGACTAATTCCGCTCCAGAGTACTATATTATTCCTTTACTATGTATCATCAGGACTAAACCTGCTCCGGAGTACTAGATTATTCCTTTACTATGTATCATTAGGACTAATCCTGCTCCGGAGTACTAGATTATTCCTTTACTATGTATCATTAGGACTAATCCTGCTCCGGAGTACTAGATTATTCCTTTACTATGTATCTTCCTGCTCCGGAGTACTAGATTATTCCTTTACTATGTATCATTAGGACTAATCCTGCTCCGGAGTACTAGATTATTCCTTTACTATGTATCATTGGGACTAATCCTGCTCCGGAGTACTATATTATTCCTTTACTATGTATCATCAGGACTAATCCTGCTCCGGAGTACTAGATTATTCCTTTACTATGTATCATCAGGACTAATCCTGCCTCAGTTTGCCAGATTAATCCAAAAATAGGTATTCAGGACTTATCCTGCTGCTCCATAATGTCAGAAGATTATTCCTGAACTAGTTATCATCAGGAATCAAATCAAAGCTTAGAAGCTAAAACTGAGTCAATCCTGCATAGTATCTAGAGAACTTCTGGTCCGGAGTAGAACACGATCAATTTTACACTCTGAATTTCTAGAAGTTTATTTTGCAGCTTTCTAGGTTTTAAATTATTGCTTTAAATATTCTAAATATTTTAAATATTTTATTAGAGCAACCATTTTTACTTAACTTACCATCTAGAGTTAGTTTATTTCTATCCTCTTCTTCCAGATCTATACAATCCGTTCCTCCTTTAACCTTCCGCCGTCGAGGCCGCTGGTTTGCTAACTGGCGGTACAATTCGTAACCCATGAGAAGCACTCCGCCATCACGATGCCAGGAGGCAATAACGGCGGAGCGCTGGGTCAAGTTCTTCAGAGAATCGTTAAGTGCGTAGATAGGAAACGTTCTGTGTTTTATTGAACTACATTTCTCACTTATTTTAGAATAAGTACCCTAAAAACATAAAATAATGGTGAAAAATGATTAATCAATACTGTAAATGAGGTTTTTAGTCAAGCAAATGATTTAATCATCAAATGACTAAATACATTAATCAATTGATGAAATCCATCAAGTGATTATATCACTCATTTTACATCAATAAAGTTAAATCCTTCAATCAATTAACTTACTTGATCGAATCAAGTGAATATATCAATCAGGACAATAATTATATCATTCAATAAATTGATTTTACCAATCAACCAATTGATCAAACCAAAATAATTGATTCAATTTCAATAACTGACACATTAAAAGTTAATACAAATTTAAAAAATCAAAAACTTTGAAAAAAAAAAACGTATTTACTATCAGAGTGCTACACACATTTAAGGAAATAGAGCCTTTTAAATGGCTGAAATCTGAGCATGAAGAAAATGTACCTTTGCTGGGAGCCAGTAATTGAACTCAGCAACCCAGTTCTGAATTGTGTTTATTGGAACTATACACAGAACCTTCTTAGCATCTGTTACACCAAGAAATAGGTCGACAAAAGAAACTATCTAAAATATTAGGTTTTGATTGAATAATTGATAAACGAAATAAAGGTAGATATATGTTTGATGTAGGTAGATCCAGACATTAAAATATTAAAGAATAAATTACGCGAAAATATTCTTGTTAAGAGATAAATCAAACCTGCATCGTTTTTCCAAGTCCCATATTGTGAGCTAAGATGCAACCGAACCCTGGAGAGTTTGAAACACGGGACGGAGATTCGATAATATTATCATATAGGAACCTCAGTCCTCCGATCTAAATCAAAAATAAAGTTTATAATGAGATTATATTCATGTAACTGAAAGAAAATATCGACCAAATAATTTTGTGGTTACAGTAATTTAAAATTACATAGTAAACAAAATATTGTGTTAATTCATCGTCTTTTTTAAAATGAAGGTCAAAATGAAGTCTCAAAATTTAAGGCAGCAAAAATATTTTTTTCAAAATTTCCGAAGGCAATGATTGCTATTTTATGTCAATCAAGGGATTCTCGTTGAGTGAATATCACTACGTTCTATTTGAAAGATTTACGTGCGTCGTAAAATCTATAGGTTTCCAGTGTTGTTTTTTTCAGGCCCAAAATGGGACTAAGCTTCCCCTGGAAACAAATTTTCTGCCCCTACTGTGTACGCCTCTACATAATTGTAAAAAATTAGTAACTGTACATTATATAAAACTGGTTCACCTGATGAGGTTTAATACAAGCTGATATCTGAGAAGCCAAAAATATATCATCATCTGAGGCTGGATGTCCAGGATTTACGAGAACCCGTCCATCGGCGTCATGGATGTTGGAAGCATCGTTGACGTGCATACCGCTGTTGTTTGGATCCTCGTCGTCATCATCGTCCGCTTCGTCGGAGACGATTTGGCACTCGTCGGAATCGGAGCTAGCAACTGTGACTAAATCTAAAACCATTTTTAATGCTGTGACAGCTTATCGTGTTTCGTTTTTTAAAATACACTTCGAATAGAGGTGTGTGGGGTTGGAGGGTTTAGGGATGGAAAGGGGGAGGGGGGGGGATGAAACTTAATTTTTAAGAATAATTTTACATGTTCACCTTTCTTTCCTTCGTCCTCGGAGGAGTCCGAGCTGATGATTTCCTCGTTTTTTATCGTCCGGTCAAATGCATCCCGAAACCCCTAGAATAATAAATATGGCAGTTCTGGAGTTTTACTCATAATTAATAAATTACTTTGATAAAATTAATAATTTGTTTTCTGGAATCGGAGTGGGATTTTTATGCTGTTATTTTTCTAAACCGAGATAACGTTTTTAACGATTTTAAGAATCAATCTAATTTCAGCTATTTATAAGTATATTACCTCCATTAAACGTTGTTTTTGATGGGCCGCAAGTCTAGCTAATCTCTCCTGCTCTTCTTCCTGAGCAGTTTTAGTTTCAACCATCAGATCGACATCCGACATCACGCCCTTGATATTCTTCCTCTTGTTCCTAGGTTTAGGGTTAGAGGTTTCTCCCTTCTCCTCGTTCTTCCTTTTTCTTGAAGGATTTTCTTCCTCGATCTTCTCCCTGTTGTAATCATCCTCCAGGGATAGTTCGTCCTTCTCCTCCTCTCCGTGGAGACTGGATGAACAAGATGAGGATAGATCCATTGCTCCGCAAGAATCAAATTTGTTTCCAGGTGGTTCTCCGTCCCCACCCTCTCCTTCGGACTGGAGAAGATCCATGGAACCTGGAATATAAAACATTATCTAAAATCAACTTTTAACCCTATCACAGTGAGGAAGGGAGTTCTCTAAAACAAAACAAGAACGGCATAAACTAGACTAGACTGATGAAACTTCTGCAACTTTTAATACTATAACGAGAGAGGGGGGGGGGGTACCTCCATCCATGATTCTATCTCCATAACAAAACTAGACTGCTTTAACGTCTTCACTTTTTCCCTATTCATTGAAGTTGGGTCTAATTTTTTTTTACCTGTATTTGAAAAGACGGGGTCCGGTATACGATTTTTGGACCCCCCCCTCCTATCAAAGTTGTAAATGACCACTTATTTAGGGTAAGGTTAGGTTAAGACAATTTCTGGGCCGAGCGCTGCGGCTAGAATGGACTAGGGGCCGAGCGCTGCGGCTATAGGACAGAATAGGGGGGCCGAGCGCTGAGACTAGGACAGGCTATAAAGAGCCGAGCGCCGCGGCTAGGACAGGCTATGGGCCCACAGGGGGGGGGTGCAAAAATCGTTCTCTAGGAAATTACCAGATGAACTAAGTACACTCCCCTTTCTCAACTAGTAGGGTAAAAATAGCCAAATCGGGATAGGGTTAAAGAACTTTCGCTCTCAATTGGTATAATTATAACATTAGGAATGGTACGGCTTTTCAAGTCAAAAGTTTAAGATTATAGAATTTACTAATATTAAACCAAAATTTATTAAAAATTAATAATATCTATAAAATAAGTTGATGAAAATATTGTAGGCTTACTAAATTCGTAAAATATCAATTTTGGTTGTTATTGAACAATATCTAGAGAATAAATCATTTTAAAATATAGAAATTTATTTATAATTAGAATTAAAATATTTCATATTTTTTTTAATAACCCAAACATAACAAATAATGTGGAACAATTGTTTTCTTAAATGCATTTTATGTACAATTAAATAATTACCCTAAACATATAAAACATTGTACATAGTACTGTACAGATTTGGTAAGTGAGAAATGTTTTGAATAATAAATAAATAGATTAAAATATGCTTAAGATTATAATTCACTATTGAATAATAAAATAAATAGATTGAATAAACTAGTGTAAAAAAGATCTACGCGAAAATTAAATAATTTGTATTTAAAAATCTAAATTAATATATTAATTAAGATTGTTTATTTGGGTTGAAATACATTTGTGCCCCATAGGAACGATTTTACTATTCATAATACTTCAAAAAACGACCAAACTTAAAACTTTTATAAAGTTAAAAAGATGATTAGGATTCCTTGAATTCTTGTATATTTTTTTTATCAATATAAAATTATTATTTCACCTCGAAATTGTTTCTTTTTTCGTTTTAAGATACTGAGGATGGATGGAACTGAATCTCCGACATTTGTTTTGTAATGACTAAACTGATCAGCTGTTTTGTATACGGTTTAGTGTATACTATTATACAATTGCAGCAGAGGCCGTTCTTTCCATAAACTACAATGGTCGACAACTTGGCGTCTCCTGTAGTGGTCGTCAAGTGAACGAAAAATTATCTATCAGAAAAGAATTTAGCATAAGACATCATAGCGGCCAATATAACGTCTCCCAAAGATACGTGAACTACACGACTAACTGTAGAGAGAACGGGCTCAGACCTTTTGACTTTAAATTATTTATCAAAAAAGATGCATATTAAGCAGGGGCGTACGAGGGGGGCCGCGCCCCCCGCCCCGCCCTCTACGCGTGCCCCCCTGAGAGGCTGAGGGGGGGCAACCCATGGGGGAGGCTCTTTTAATAT